ATGAAATAACTTAATTGCATATGCACTTGGGTTGTAGTTACCAGAAACCGCTCAACTCTAGNTCTCACCTCCACTCCAAGAACTTGGGATGTTTTCATCTCCCAGAAGCACCCATTATGAACCATCATTACAATTTATGAAATAACTTAATTGCATATGCACTTGGGTTGTAGTTACCAGAAACCGCTCAACTCTAGATGGCCCACAATCTCACAATTTGGGGGCAGCCACCTCAAACCGAGTGGGTTTGCAGTCTAGATCGCTTAGATTTCTGACGTCAAATTGTAACCCTAATTCAAACTTGTTTCGCTTTGCATACAATTTCAGATAATAAGAAAACACTCACAAATGTAAAATAAACATTAACTAAATGTATATGACTTTGTATAGACGTGAAAAGTAATCTAAATAAGAATTCCAAAATGAATTGCAACCCAAAACAGCACACTAGCCGAGTCTACATTGTCGCAACGCATACCCAAGAAAGTATCGTACCAAAAACCCATACATTTACCACGTATAGGTCGACCCCCGAGTTGGGTACCCTTCCTCATTTCATAGATTGGGACTTGGGAGCATTATCTACTTTACCAAAGGCTAGTTTGGGCTCAATGGAAAAGGAAATGCTTCAACACCCAGCCTTCAAAAAGTTGAGAACAGAGTAAAAAATGTGCAAGAAGTATCATATTTTTCCCAAATATCGAGCAACTTAGATCTAGAACATTTTCCAGAAAATAAGCCTCCCATCCAAGTGCACAAAACATTAGCTGCAACATGAGGGTCACCCCTGATCTAAAGTAAGACCTATGCATTGCAATCTTTTAGAAATAACAAACTGGACCCAGAAAAAGCAGTCATTGTTCACAAACCATAGATGCAAATCAGTGTTCTGCAACAGCCACCGCTTCCACTATACAATTTGATTAAAAAGACAATCACCTTCACCGGGACCTGTCATTGTATCATATGTCCAAGTGCATTAAACACATATACATATTTCTTTCTTTGGTATGCAAGGGTAAAAAGAATGTGTGCAGCAGAGAGCCAAGGGGGGCCATGACACCCACAAAGTTTTAGAAACCCTATAGTATAGGTGTACTTGCACACATATTGTTGTATTTAGGAAGAGTTAGCCTACAAAGATACATCATTAACATGTAATACAACTGCACCCTAAGAACACTTTGGTCTCCCCTAAGCCGAAATCATGGATCTGGTGCAACATGTGAAAAAATTTAATGCAGGCATAATGTTGCTGCGCTCCCTGCAGGTAAAAGCATGAAGGAATGATTAATTACCATGACTCCCATCCTCAGATTTATAACCTAATTTGAGTAAATTCAGCTTACATTAGAGGATAATCTAAAACCAACTTAAACTATGATGAAAGAAGACACCTACAGAGTATATGAATAAATAATTAACTTTATAAAAGGCTTCAAAGCCAAAGTGCAACAACAACTGATGCAAACACTAACATTGCAAAAGCACGATAATTCTAGGACAACTCTAAGACCAACAAAATAAATTAAAGCCCTAAAAAAATCTTCCTTCTTTTCCAGGGAAAACATAGAACTTTTTGATTATTTTGGTAAACAATAAGTTTAATAAATTATCCAGCACAAAATCAATCGAAAAGATACTATCAATCCATCTGTGCCATCAAATAAACAAAAACATGAATACATTCGTGCACCTATGTTACACATTTTCATACTACCAACTTATTCCCACTTTCTACACGTTTCAACCGACGCCCCTCTTAGCATATTTTCTTTACATCAAACCTCCTTACTTACAAATGAGGAAACTAAGTTGATTCCTACAGCCTGCATAAACAAGCATGTGCACATATAGGCAAAACACAACCATACAAGCATATATGGCCAAAGCAGCACAAGCTATAACGAACAGTTAAAAAAAGCATACGATATAAATAATTCAACTTTCCCTACCTATATAAAAGATGAACAACCTCAAACCTACGTTCAATAGCTTTCCTACTGCTGCATCTCGCTGCTCTCGGATAGATTTTTAAGAAATTTAACCTTATAATACTTGATTTTATAGTTGATTATTCCGATTTTGAGGGAATTTTGTTGACAACTTAATTACTCTTAGATTAATTAAAAGTTGAGCTCAATTTTATCTCGAAGTCCTACTCGAATGCCAGGAACTCGTATCGAGCTATGCTTCAGCAAAAAATCTAAACACACACAATGGAGGTCGGCTCGAGCTCAAAGTTACTAAGCTGAGCTTTGGCATTCTCAAACTCGATAACAAAATGGTAAAAACGAAACATACCGATTGGCGTGAAGAAGAGCAGCGGGGCCCAGATAAGTCTCAGGGTTCCACCAATAGCTAGGGCAAGATGTGCTACAGCAGGCGCATAATATGCACTCGTACATTCCATCAAGCTTAGCCCTATCTTTCTTGCTCTGCAGAATCTCCTTCCCAAGCGCAGACGGTGGATTCTTCCTCTTCAACCACGGCTCAATCGATTTGTACTGATTGTAAAAATTCGTCATATCCACAACCAGATCTTTGATCACAAACATATGCGGCAACGGCGTAATCGTGGATGACGATCCAGATGGAATCTTCGTCAAACACGCCAAACCATTGCAGCCATCGATGTTCATTGCACAGGACCCACAGATTCCTTCGCGGCAGGACCGTCGGAACGTTAGGGTTGGATCCATTTCGTTCTTGATCTTGATTAGGGCGTCGAGAACCATGGGCCCACAGTCCTTGAGGTCGATCTGGTAGTCTTGAAGCTCCGGATTTTGGGGATTTTCAGGGCTCCATCGGTAGATTTGGAAGGTTTTCAGGTTGGTTGTGGGCTTGGCCTTGGGCTCCACCTGTTGAGCTTCCGCTTCGGAGGCATGGGCTCTAGCGATGATGAGTTTCGACGCCGGTAATAACTGAACCCTAGAAATCGCTCGTCGGACCAAACCAGTCGCCATTGTTTATGTTCAGAATTGAGAGAGAGAGAGAGAGAGAAGAGTGACGGAGAGAGAGTGAGTGTGGAGGGCAAAATGTGAGCAGGTGATGAAATGACCGTAATGGGTATATATAAAAGAAGTTAACCGTCGTGAGGAGGAGGAGGGTATTGGGTAAATAGAGTGATTCGTTTGGGGTATTTATGGAAGTTAAGTTGTAACTTGAGGCTGTACTTTAATTTCGTGGGCAACTTTATTCATAGCCGTGGATGGATTGAATTTTCGACGAGGGGGTGTGATGACGTGGCACCACTTAAGCCGTTAGATAAATTTGGTAACGTGGTGGCCTCGTGGATCGATAATTTTTGAGTTTCGCCGTTAATTGTCACCGTCGCCGTCGAGTAAATGTCGTTTGATATTGCGAGGTTCTGAACTTTTATTTGATGATATAATAATTATAGGGCATGTAATTGTAAATAATGTTGAAACTTTATTTATGTAAGGGTTAATTTCGCTTCATATCTCAAAAATACTTTGATTCTTAAATATAAAAAATTTTAATTTATACCTTTAATATTATGAATTAATAATAATATGATCTTAATCTAAATTATTTTTCAGTTTTTTTTTTATCATAAATTAAAATATGTGAGATGCAAGTGCTTTGGATATGATAATGAGAAATGTTCAATGGTGTAGATATTTGTTTGCTTTCAATTTAACGCCGTTTTGTGTATCGAAAATAAGATTTCATTAATTAGATGAAGCGTAATTTTATCATGTGTAGTTCATATCAGACGTCAATAGTCTATTAATTTATTACTCCAAGAACATGCAATTCACGTGTTTAAATTTATGACAAAAAAAAATTAACGGCAGTGCCACCAATGCATAATATTAAAAGTGTAAATTAAAATTTTTAATGCTTAAAGATGCAAATTGGAAATTAAAGTATTTTTCGGGATACAAAATGAAGTTAGCCTTTTATTCAATTCCTACCATCGTCTATGGCTCTTCCTAGAGACTCGCTCTCCAATCTTTGTGCTTTTGTTTTGCGCTCTCTCTCTCTCTCTCTTGCAATTTTGTCATTGATGAGTTCTGTAAGTTTCTCTATCTCTTATCTTTCTTCTTCTTTTTTGGTATCTATCTATGTTTTTTAAACCTTGTTAGCCTCGTCAGAATTCAGGCAATATGTTGTTGTTTGTTAAATTTGTTATTGATTTTATTATGCAATGACAATGTTGAGGAAAGGAAATTCCTTGGCAAAGTTGATAGCTCTATCGCTTGATGGTTTCTATCTTATTCTGGAACAAATTAGGGATTCACGGGCGGGGCCTTTANTATCTCAAAAATACTTTGATTCTTAAATATAAAAAATTTTAATTTATACCTTTAATATTATGAATTAATAATAATATGATCTTAATCTAAATTATTTTTCAGTTTTTTTTTTTATCATAAATTAAAATATGTGAGATGCAAGTGCTTTGGATATGATAATGAGAAATGTTCAATGGTGTAGATATTTGTTTGCTTTCAATTTAACGCCGTTTTGTGTATCGAAAATAAGATTTCATTAATTAGATGAAGCGTAATTTTATCATATGTAGTTCATATTAGACGTCAATAGTCTATTAATTTATTACTCCAAGAACATGCAATTCACGTGTTTAAATTTATGAAAAAAAAAATTAACGGCAGTGCCACCAATGCATAATATTAAAAGTGTAAATTAAAATTTTTAATGCTTAAAGATGCAAATTGGAAATTAAAGTATTTTTCGGGATACAAAATGAAGTTAGCCTTTTATTTAATTCCTACCATCGTCTATGGCTCTTCCTAGAGACTCGCTCTCCAATCTTTGTGCTTTTATTTTGCGCTCTCTCTCTCTCTCGTGCAATTTTGTCTTTGATGAGTTCTGTAAGTTTCTCTATCTCGTATCTTTCTTCTTCTTTTTTGGTATCTATCTATTTTTTTTAAACCTTGTTAGCCTCGTCAGAATTCAGGCAATATGTTGTTGTTTGTTAAATTTGTTATTGATTTTATTATGCAATGACAATGTTGAGGAAAGGAAATTCCTTGGCAAAGTTGATAGCTCTATCGCTTGATGGTTTCTATCTTATTCTGGAACAAATTAGGGATTCACGGGCGGGGCCTTTAAATTGATATGGTATATAAGGATTTAGTGGAAGATGGGTGTAGGATGACAGACAAGGCATAACCCTTCATTATTATTTATTGGTTTCTGCTACATTCATGCCCTTCATCTTCGTATTTGATTCGTTCAATTGTTGTTGTATCTTTAATAATAATTCATCTAAAGTTGTAAAAATCTTTACCTTCAGCAAGATAAGGGTCGGCCGTTGCCAAAATTTGGCGAGTGGGACGTAAATAATCCCGCATCAGCTGATGGTTTTACAGTCATATTTGCCAAGGCTAGAGATGACAAGAACTCCAACGGAACAGGCGCGAGTGGTTCAACAGCGCAAAGGATGGACAATCTACCGAAACAAGATCAAAATGACCAGCAACCCTCCACGGTAAAAACAACACAAGATAACACTAATGATTNATTAAAAGTGTAAATTAAAATTTTTAATGCTTAAAGATGCAAATTGGAAATTAAAGTATTTTTCGGGATACAAAATGAAGTTAGCCTTTTATTTAATTCCTACCATCGTCTATGGCTCTTCCTAGAGACTCGCTCTCCAATCTTTGTGCTTTTATTTTGCGCTCTCTCTCTCTCTCGTGCAATTTTGTCTTTGATGAGTTCTGTAAGTTTCTCTATCTCGTATCTTTCTTCTTCTTTTTTGGTATCTATCTATTTTTTTTAAACCTTGTTAGCCTTGTCAGAATTCAGACAATATGTTGTTGTTTGTTAAATTTGTTATTGATTTTATTATGCAATGACAATGTTGAGGAAAGGAAATTCCTTGGAAAAGTTGATAGCTCTATCGCTTGATGGTTTCTATCTTATTCTGGAACAAATTAGGGATTCACGGGCGGGGCCTTTAAATTGATATGGTATATAAGGATTTAGTGGAAGATGGGTGTAGGATGACAGACAAGGCATAACCCTTCATTATTATTTATTGGTTTCTGCTACATTCATGTCCTTCATCTTCGTATTTGATTCGTTCAATTGTTGTTGTATCTTTAATAATAATTCATCTAAAGTTGTAAAAATCTTTACCTTCAGCAAGATAAGGGTCGGCCGTTGCCAAAATTTGGCGAGTGGGACGTAAATAATCCCGCATCAGCTGATGGTTTTACAGTCATATTTGCCAAGGCTAGAGATGACAAGAACTCCAACGGAACAGGCGTGAGTGGTTCAACAGCGCAAAGGATGGACAATCAACCGAAACAAGATCAAAATGACCAGCAACCCTCCACGGTAAAAACAACACAAGATAACACTAATGAATACCATTATGATCATAATAATTCATACTTATTCTGACCTTATTGACATTGTACATTGATGCAGAAAAGTTGGTTTTGCTGTTTCTGAAACCCCTTCTACTTTTGGAGCAGTGAGATGGTAAATTTTGGCCAAGATGGTTGTACAACTCTAATGAGCATGCTTGATTGGCAGGGTCGGGGGAGTGGAAGGCGGCTGGCAACAATAGAGGTGATAGGATGGTCAAAATGTGAGAGCTTTTAGAGTGATGGTGTATTTATGTTGATGATGAAAAAAGAATGATGTATTAATGTTGAGAAAAAAGCTATGTCAAATCGAATGCATTACACAAAAAAAGGTATAACCCTTTTCTGCAGTTTTGATCTGGTTTACGGGGTATNTTCATTATTATTTATTGGTTTCTGCTACATTCATGTCCTTCATCTTCGTATTTGATTCGTTCAATTGTTGTTGTATCTTTAATAATAATTCATCTAAAGTTGTAAAAATCTTTACCTTCAGCAAGATAAGGGTCGGCCGTTGCCAAAATTTGGCGAGTGGGACGTAAATAATCCCGCATCAGCTGATGGTTTTACAGTCATATTTGCCAAGGCTAGAGATGACAAGAACTCCAACGGAACAGGCGTGAGTGGTTCAACAGCGCAAAGGATGGACAATCAACCGAAACAAGATCAAAATGACCAGCAACCCTCCACGGTAAAAACAACACAAGATAACACTAATGAATACCATTATGATCATAATAATTCATACTTATTCTGACCTTATTGACATTGTACATTGATGCAGAAAAGTTGGTTTTGCTGTTTCTGAAACCCCTTCTACTTTTGGAGCAGTGAGATGGTAAATTTTGGCCAAGATGGTTGTACAACTCTAATGAGCATGCTTGATTGGCAGGGTCGGGGGAGTGGAAGGCGGCTGGCAACAATAGAGGTGATAGGATGGTCAAAATGTGAGAGCTTTTAGAGTGATGGTGTATTTATGTTGATGATGAAAAAAGAATGATGTATTAATGTTGAGAAAAAAGCTATGTCAAATCGAATGCATTACCAAAAAAAAAGGTATAACCCTTTTCTGCAGTTTTGATCTGGTTTACAGGGTTTNGTTGAGAAAAAAGCTATGTCAAATCGAATGCATTACCAAAAAAAAAGGTATAACCCTTTTCTGCAGTTTTGATCTGGTTTACGGGGTATTGAATGGTTCATGAACTTCAATGCAAGTATTTGCCTAGACAAACAGCCATAGAATGTATATGCAGCCAGCATGATTCATTGACTCATCTATTCATCCCAGACTGACCTGTTTCCTTTTTCAGACTCTTGACAATGAATAATAAGCAAAAATGTGGTGTTTAGGCAGCAGGAACTGCACAAGATAGTGCTGACACCAAGGCAAAATAATGTAAACCAGACTAGGTGGAGGCAGAAATCATAAGGGAAACATTATTACCTCAATTCCTTGAATGCCGAAAGACATATAATTTAAAGATTTGTTTGTTGGCAAAGGTTTTTCCTGTGCACAACAGCTTGTTGTACTCAAAAAAGTTTAGACAAAGAAAGAAACAGAAGAAAAAAGGAGTCCACATGTTTCCTGTATGAGAGGTCTGTTTCAGGTAGGGAAACAGTTTCTATGCAGACTGCTGGATAGTAGCCTCATTTCCATTCTTTCACCCGTCCATTCCAGAATCTCCAGCACTACCAACACTGCTGCCAGGAGACTCTAAAATGGGCCCAGCTGCGGAAGTGAAGGGCTCATGATTCACTGGATGGTTGAAGGAACAGGCGCGCCCATACTTGCAAATACCAAACCGCTCGTAATGCTTGCAAATTCTAGTGCCCTGGATAGATTGGCAGAAGATAAAGAGAAACCATGATCAATACAAACCAAAATAACTGAATAGCAGACAATATGGACTACGTTTCTGTTAATTGTGTGATCCAGACAGACTAATTCCTTGCCTTCCAAAGTAAACTAATAACCTAGGGAAATCAACACTACACTTGCCATTTGACAAACAACCTCATTCTCAACATTCACCAGAAATTTGACCATTCAAAATAGAGAAGCCCAAAAATTCATTGAATCTTAAAATATTGAAGTTCCCAGAGTCAAGAGCATGTTAAACTTACAGGCCTTATAGGCAACCCCTTGTCACTGAGATGACAGGCATTCACTTTTGGAGCCTGACTCTTGGGGAATTCTTCAGCCTGTGAAGCAACATCTGTTTTTTTTCCAAAAATGTCGGCATTCGCTTTCGGAGCCCGACTCTTGGGATGGTGATACACACATGCTGATTTAAATTTGCAGTCCCCAGTCTTCATGAAGTTGTTGCACTCAGGTAGACCTGGTCGTTCTGGGAATTCTTCAGCCTGTGAAGCAGCATCTGCTTTTTTTCCAAAAATGTCTGTTCCCGGAGCCGAACGAGGATGCTTTGCCCTTTCTTGGGCATAATTAGGGGCCTAAACAAACCATGGGAAGCATCATCAGGCTAGAGTAATATAAATCAAAAGCCAACTAAGCCAAGTTATCCCTCTGATAGCAAAAGAGCTCAAACAGAACAATCTTCTTCAAAACATTTAAGAACATTAGTGGAGATATATTTCCATCATAAAGCAAGATTAGTCGANCATAATTAGGGGCCTAAACAAACCATGGGAAGCATCATCAGGCTAGAGTAATATAAATCAACAGCCAACTAAGCCAAGTTATCCCTCTGATAGCAAAAGGGCTCAAACAGAACAATCTTCTTCAAAACATTTAAGAACATTAGTGGAGATATATTTCCATCATAAAGCAAGATTAGTCTAATTCATATCAAGCAACGGTCCTAGAACTGAGATATAGTCTCCTGTCATGTCATGTCATCTTATCACACGATGTTTTTGCTATAATGAGGTGCTACTTATAAAGGTAAACAAGGATCTGGTTCCACATTTTTCTCCCCCTTCCTTGCTCTTTCTTCAAGCTAGAGTAATGCGGAAAGGCCATAATGACAAATTAACTGCAACCTAGTACCTAAACACGGTTACCATTTTACTTATCAGCCCAAAAACGAAGGGATGAGGGAAAAAACAGAAAATTACCACTTTAGTAGAATTTCGAGCAAATAAATCTCCTTTTTTAGATTTTTTTGCTAATGTCACATTGGAGAATCGATTACACATTCAAATAAAGGAAAACATAAAGATCGAACAGTTACAGNGTAGAATTTCGAGCAAATAAATCTCCTTTTTTAGATTTTTTTGCTAATGTCACATTAGAGAATCGATTACACATTCAAATAAAGGAAAACATAAAGATCGAACAGTTACGGAGATACTGATCTGACTGGAATCCTGAACCTGTTGTCAACAATCAGGTCCTGGTAACAATTATCTATATTGAATCACAAACTATCATATTATAGGAGGGAATAAGTGGAAATTAGTCAGTATTGGACGTATTTGGCATTCTGTACATGGAAATAAGAGAACCCACAACTGCCTACAATCGGGTACATTTTGCCACCTTCCACCAAATAATGCAAAAGCCATAAACACCCTTTCATACCACCATATTACAACACATGACAACGATAACGACTGTGATATTAAAGATACTTTAACAAGGACATAAGGAGGCCATCTACACGCATTCTAATGCTAAGCGACTAGAGTGGATCCAACATCCACATTTTCTACCAATCCACCTTCGACCAAGTAATGCAAAAGACAGAAACACAATTTCATACCACCAATATCAGAACAAATGACAATTATAATTTAACAACAACATTGCAGGAGGCCATCTACACGCATTCTAATGTTACAAGACTAGAGCGGATCCAACATCCACATTTTTCTACCAATGTAGTTTCTCCTCTCTTTCTTTTACTATTTAAAATCCTCTCAATATTTTCATAGATAAATTTGGAACACCAATAAGGAGTCATGCTGAGAAAACTGATAGACTGCATATGAGCAGGGGCGTAGCCAAAAATTTGTCGTAGTGGGTGCAAAAAATTTAATAACAATAATAATACATGCACTTAATTTGGAGACCTAGTTTAGAGATCTAATGCACTTACCTTTACAATTGTTACCAATTAATTTTCATATTATAAAAATATTGCATCATAATCTTATCATTTAATAGATTAATATTACCCACGGTGGGAGAAATGGGGACAAGATAGAGAGAGGGAGAACAAAGGGCTTCAAGTTAATTTTTTGAACGCGTGTTAAGGGATTCAACTAACTAACCATTATCTAAATTCACTTAACTAAGAGTAAAGAAAATTAATCCAAACATTAAAAAATGATTAAATAAATTAAAATGTATAAGTTTTCTTATGGGGCCAAATTAAAAATATATTGAAACCTATATAAAAAAAAATTGTAAATAAAAAGTGAGTGGGGGCGGTTGCCCCCATAAGAGGCTGTGTAGCTCTGCCCCACATATGAGCATGCACGAAGAATGCTTGCTCCCTCAATTGTCCATGGGCATGTGTGTGGATAAAGGCACGCATAAAGAAAGTTTATTACAAGGCAAAAATCTAAATGGCTGAAATCAAATCCAGCAAAAATTAAAGATAGAAAGATACCTGATAACCACTCCATTCAAGATTTTGATACACCTCTTGAGGATGGGAATGCACTGAAGGCATATAAGACGAGTGGTTAGCCAAGTAATGAACAGTAGTATTGGATACTGTATGCAAATCCCAGGATGCTTGAGCTGGTTGTGATGCAGCTGATGCCCCTGACACATGCAAAGGAGCAAACTCTGCACTACAATTTCCTAAGGAATGACCATATTGTCCCACAGATTCATAACTGAGAGTTGAGTTGCGAACATCAGTTCCTCCTTCGGAGGTAGGATCAGGATGGTGGAACATGCAGCGAACCCCATATCCACAGGTACCATTACGCATGTAGAAGGAACACTCTTTCTTTCCCTGGTTGAGAAGACAATGCAACAATAACTTCAGACTACATCCTTAATATATGGATACATATAAATGCTGCATGCCATTGTCTTTAAAAAATTTACCTAAAAATAAAATATGTTGTAGGGTACTAATACAATAAAAGAATAAGACAAGATGTTGCATGGTATTGATCTACTAAGTAACAAATAAATTCAGTGAAACACTAAAAAAATAGAAAATAAATAAAAATAACATGTATTACCGATCGTATTGGCAAACCAAGAAAATTAAGTCCCAGCAGAGCACCGGGCTCTGCTTTAGAGTGCATGAATCGACATGAATTTCCATACTTGCACCCGCCTGCTGTTAGGTAATACTGCAACAATCAGAAGACACCACTCATTTTTACAACAGGCACTAGGAAATTGTAATCATACAGCAGTTGATGACTAGACACTAGAACCAATTTACATGATATAATACTAGCCATAGTTATCAGAATCAGACTCGACCAGCAGGTCTCACTGCTGAACCGGCTGTTCCAGCCCGTTGCAATTACTTGAACCATCTGCAGTGAAGGCAGTAAAAAATTTCAAAGGGGCATTGTCACATTAGAACTCAGAGTGTCAAACCCCCAACCACATGCATGTGCTTTATGAACTAAACCTACAAGTTTCTGAGACAAATCTACAAAATCTTGACATCAAATTCCAGATCAAAATATTTGAGGGTTAATACGAAGGAGGAAATCTCATATCTGAAGTATGTTTAGTGCGGTACCAAATTTCTTATTTTTGTTGACTTAAGTTTGCTTAATTTTTCATACAGGAGTAATTTTTTGATCTTCGTTTTCGTTTTTTATTTTCTTGAAATTTACAAATAAAACATTTAAGCAGTTAACCCTTCTATCTTATCTACGTATATATTGAAGTAATCTGTCTGCAAATCCATCTTTTCTTTCCTTTTTAACCACAAAGATCAATTAACACAATAATAAAGCAATCCCCTTGTCGTATAGTGCTTCACTGACAGACTACTTGGTCCTCAGTAACCACTA